AGAGAGAGAGGAGAGAGAGAGAGAGAGAGAGAGAGAGAGAGAGAGAGAGAGAGAGAGAGAGAGAGAGAGAGAGAGAGAGAGAGAGAGAGAGAGAGAGAGAGAGAGAGAGAGAGAGAGAGAGAGAGAGAGAGAGAGAGAGAGAGAGAGAGAGAGAGAGAGAGAGAGAGAGAGAGAGAGAGAGAGAGAGAGAGAGAGAGAGAGAGAGAGCACGCCGCGGGGCGCGGAACAAAGCGGCAAGAGCGGCGCGTTCGGCGCGGAGAAGGGATCGGTGGGACCTCGGCAGGATGGTGGCAGCATTGAGAACTGCGCGACATAACCCAGCGATGACACAGTAGGGCTAGACCATGTACTCAGTGGCTGGCGCAGGGCGGCCAGCTTTGGCTATCCGAGCAGCCCCTTTTTCAACGTTTTGCGCCGGGTCTCCGCGGCGACGCTGGGCCCTGGGCCCCCCGCTCGATGCGCGCGAGAGACGAGGCGACCTGGGGCGACCCCCGGGGCGGAAGGTCATCTTGGATCCAGGACACACGTACGGCCGCCAGGGCCTGGGAAACGGCCCCGCCAGCGGAGCGATGCAACACTTCGCGCGCTTCAAAACTAAACGTGCGATGGGCCTCGCAACGGCCGGGGCGGACTCCAGCTGGCGGGGCGCGGCGACCCTGCCTGTCGATCGCAGCCCCGATGTCGCCCGCGCGCGCGCGCACCAGTGGAAGCTTGCGATCTCTGTCTTCCCCATCCGGGTCGGCCCAGAATACGGCAAGAGAAGGAAGGGCAACGCCGTCGTCTTGATTCCTTCCACGGAAGACGACCAGGAAGCGGCGGCCGCAGAGGGCGACGAGGGCGACAGACCCAGGGCGCCCCTGGATGGCCCCAAAGCCAACCTTGGCAGACCACGGCGCAGCCGCCAAAGCAGCGAGCTCGCGCGCAGAGAGCCTCGACAAAGACCAGCAGCGGGCGAGGCGCACGAAGCGCGGCCAGCGATTTCGCGGCTCACTGGTGAGCCACTGACGGGGAAGCCTGCCCATGATCGAAGGTTGCTGCGAGAAGAAAACTGCATCTGCAAGCCTCGAAATCACCCTGGGCCCAGCCTCGAATTCTACATGATCGAACCAAGACATCCCGCGGCCAACGGATCCCAGCGTCAAGAAGTGCGTGACCTCGTTCAATGGCGATTGTTTGTGCCCGAGAGGCCGGGTCTGAGAGGCCCCCCGAATGACCTGGGCCGCGCCCTGCCCCCATCTCTTCTGGCGATGAACGCCCCCCTCTCGTCGTCGACGGCAGGAGGCGCGCTGCGCCCGCTGGGAATCCACCGGGGGCCCTCGCCGGGGACGCCGCGGCGCCTCTTCCGTGCTCGGCGCAGGGGCCCATCGAGTCTCGGGCCGCAATCTCCCACCTACCAAGACGACGTTGGAGTCGACGGAGAGAGGGATGAGGTCGGGGGCAAAGATCAGCATCTCCCGCGCGGAGACTGAAGCGCTCCGCAACAGCATCAGCAGCAGCCGCGGCGGCGCCGATCGCTCGCTCCGCGAATGCGAAGCGCCAGTGGGCTCCCGGGCGCTCCGCGGGGCTCGGCCAGGGCGGCCCCGCCGACGCCAGATCGAGACCACCGCGTGGGAAGCCTTCTTTCACATGGGGCCAATGTCAACTCCGTCGAATAGCGCTCGCAGCTGTCGCCGGCACCCCCCTCGCTTCTGCTCGTTAATGGCATTCGCAATCTCTTGTCGGAGTTGAGCTTCGTTCATCGAAATCGCCGGACGGGCCGAGCCCGGGCGCCGGGCGAACTCGACGGGGTCGCGCAGCTCCACTGCCCCATCGGACCAATATTCAGAAAGTGCGTCGACGCCTAACATCTCGGTGCCATATAGCCCCCCTGCCGATGGTTTTGATTAAGACCAGTCTCGCGCAGGGGTCCTCGGGGTTCCGCGTGAGCATCGCGTCTCTGGCATGGTTGGCCGCCTCGCGCATCGCCTCGGCATCGCAGGAAAATCAAAGCGGCGGTCCGTGGGTGCTCCGATCGCACTGCCCATCTATCTTCCGCAAAAACTGCCGAAGCGCTGGATGCTCGCAGGTCTTGGGCGCCACGGGCCTCTCGCCTTCGGGGATGGGCGCGGCCGGCGCATGAGTGGCCTGTATCGGGGCGCGATCGGGGGCGCCCGTCTTGATGGGAATTTTGGGGATCTCGAGCACCCTGCCAGAGATGCAAAGCTGCGCGCGCATCAACTCAGGAGTCGGTCGGACCGCACTGTCGAACGAGCTCACAGAAAGAGCAGCAAGCGCGACGCGTACTGCTGAACTGGGACAGCAAGCCCCGAAACGCCAGCAGGCTGCCACGACTCTCTCGCACCGCGGCGGAGGAACCTAGGGGGCGAATAATGCGTCGAAGCAGGCAGATTTTCTTCTCTCGCACGGGAAGGGAGCGATGACAGAAGGAACGGGCGTTCCAGGGCGCCAGGGCCAGCTCGGCATAACTCGGGTCACGCCGTGCGCGGAAGAGCGGGGTAAAGACGCCAGACTGGCGTCGGCACAGGGCCACCGCCCATGACGAAGGCGACAGACAACTGCTCCTTGTTGAAATCGAGGGCCTTAGGGTTCTCACGGCACCCGTGCGCGAAAGGCCGGGCGTCTCCTGGCTGGGGCGCGATCTTGACGAGTGGCTCCCATGACATGTCACTTTTTTGTTTAGCTTTGCCCGAGGAGAACCGCTGTGTTCCACTGGCCTCCTCGAGCGCCTTCCGAATCTGTTGGAGACCGAGTTCGCGCCTGATCTGCGCGGGGCTCTTGTCTCCGCTGATGGATGTCTCGTGCTCGATGCCGTGGATGCCCTTCGCGCGCTGCCGATGCCATTGTCCTTTGGCCATCCGAAGAGCACTGGGCACCTGGGCAACCTCCCTGGCGGCGTAGGTGGCATTTCCAGCAGGGCCTCCGTCGATCTGGTAGTTTCCTGCGCCAATCTTGGGCATCTGCAGCTACTCGGACAAGCCCTTCTCGACATTCTGCCTGGTAGCGACGCCCGTGTTATGGGCGATGATGACGCGGTATTCCACTCTGCGATCGAACGCGGTGTCGATGCCGGTGGATTGGGGCTCTTCCTGCTTGACGCAATGCAACAGCTCAGACAGAAACGGGTCCATCTGCGCGATCCTGTCGGTTGGCCATGTTTACGAATATGATCTCGATTCGCTTGTTGAGGCTGTCGGAGCTGCCCACGGTCGTCCTCCCGAAGCCCTGCTTGAAGCTCTCGAACTTGCTGACGGCGGCCACGAGCCCGTTGATAATTGCGTTCGACATTTGCAATCGGGTCATCAATATTCCCCTTCTTGTTCTCGCGCCATTCTCCCCAACAGCGACCTGGGAGACTTCTTTCACAATTGTGTGGTGGCCCTTCTCGCTTCTGGGTGCCGAACGTGGGGGCAACGTCAACCGCCGCACGTCGCCAAATCAACCTGACCATGGGTCATTGCAACACTGAATACTTCAGTCGGCAAGATGCTCAACGTAAAACGGAACGGCAACTGTGCCGCGGAAGAGGGGCCGATTGTCTGACCGCTGGTGGTGGGGAAGTTGGGCAATGTCCGAGTACACCCTCTCCCAGTGTGGTTTCGGGCAACACCTTGAGCCAAAATGGTTGCGGACTTCTCCTGCTCCTCCTCCTCCTCCTCCTCCTCCTCCTCCTCCTCCTCCTCGTCCCCCTTATCCTTGTTCACGTTGGTCAGGCTCTAGCTCGGTAGCTGAAGCTCCTCCTCCTCCTCCTGCGCCTCCTCCTCCTCCTGCTCTTCCTCCTCCTTCCTGCGCCTCACCCGCGTCCGCATCCTCATCCTCGTCCCCCGTGCCCTCACTAGAGGGTTTGGTTCGATTGGCTGTCTGGTGTCTTCGCCACCCACTGGCGCCCGATCGGTCCGGCCCTCTTCTCCGAGAGGGCCGACGCTCCGGCGCGGCCCCTCGCCGGACTAGCGCACGGCGCGCTCCTCTGGCGGCGACCGCTCGGGCTGGCGCCCCCAGTGGCATCAGGTTCGCGCCCAGCGCCCCAGGCCGACGCGTTTCCGCTGTGCGCGTCTGCGCCGACGTGTGGCCCGCCGGGTGCGACAGCAGGTGCGCGGCCTCGCCGCCGCTCGGCGGCCCACCAGGCCCAGGCAGCCTCCTGCGCGATGTCGGCGCCGCTGTGGCCAGCGGAAGGCCTAAGCTGGGAACCGTCCGCGGGGATCCAGGAAGGGCTTCGCGATCGCGGCGTGCTCGTGCGCGCGTCAGACTTCAGGGGCGGAGGGCAAGCGAACCACGAGTCCGAGCCCCGAGGAAACGTAGGTGTGGGCCGCCAGCAGGGTGAGCTTGAACCCGTAGCCAGCCCTGCCCCAGAGAGGTCAGCCATCTCGTCGACCCTCGCGGCGGCCAGCGGCACGGGGCAAGGGCAAACGCGCGGTGTCGGTCCGACAGGGGCCGCCCTCAGAGAGCAGCGCGGGGGGGCCGGAGCCCTGCCTGGAAGCTGGAGGCCAGAAAGCAGGTGTAACTTTACACAGGCACGGCCATAGATGGGGGTTGGGAGTCAGAGTCGGCAGCGCGTGAACCAAATTCGGAGAAAGAAAGCTGCGAGGGCATGGCGAGGGAAGGCGCTTCGCCGCTGGCACGCCGCCCTTCGTTCCAGGCATGCCTGCTGGAGACCCCCTCGGCGCTGCGGTGATCTCCTGGCCATTGTCAGCGCCCCAGGCTGCTGGTTACATGCAACATGCGGTGGTGCTGAGTTTTGCCCTCGGCCCTCGAGGACCGAGGAGTGCGGATTTCGAAGTGTTCGCATGCTTTGAAAATATCTGACCCTTTTCGGGCCTCCGGGAGCTTCCACAGGCCTCCCGGGCCCTCTGGCACCACATCCTCCTCATTGAACTCCCCTTCTGCCCCTCCACTTCCGCGCTCCCATGCTTAATTTCCCTCCTCGTCATGCATGCCCAATCCTCCGAATCCTTACCACGTACTCCCGAGGGTCGCAGCGTGCTGGCGAAAGCCCTCATATCCACTCTACTCCTAAAGTCTCGTGGTCGTAGTCTTCCCAGGGCGCCCTCGGTACGTTGATGAGCCTGCTGCGTTTAGCCTTCTCGTGGCCCCCTGCGGCAGCGCGCAGCATCCACTTCACGCCCTCAGTCTCGTCCTCCTCGGAGCAGCCAGAAAACCCACCTGTCCCGCCCACGTCCCACCCTTCCCGCTCTCCCCTTCCCCCAGTCATTTCTCCCCCTGTTCTTTCCCATCTCCGTTCCCCTTCCGCTGCCGCCCCGCTCGAGACGACGGGTCCGCCCAGCCAGGGCCGGGCCCAGGGGCTCCCGGCATAAGCCCGGCCGCGCTCTCCTGGACACCGATGCCGTTCAGCATCATGGTCGCCAGGTTGTACGCGGCGCCAGGGTGCCCCTGGCGGCCCGCCTTCCCGAACCACTCGGCCGCAGTGTAGAGGTCCGCCTCGACGCCCCTCCCCTCCATGAGCATGCTGCCGAAGGCGTACTGCGCCCCGCTGTGGCCCGACCTCGCCGCACGTAAGAAGCAAGAGGCCGCCTCGCGGTCGTCGGGCTCGACGCCCCTCCCTCTGAGGTACCTCACCCCAAGGTTGTACAGCCTCTTGGCCTCGGCCTTCGAAAGCCGCTCGGTGCCGCTGTATGCCGTCGGTGCGAGCGCGGCACCGTTCTCCCGCTCAGCCGGCAATACCGCCGAGGACTCGCTGCGCTGGATGCCTGTGACGGAGGGTACGGACCACGCTCCCCCAGAAAGGAGTGCGCCTGATGAGACAAAGAGATACTCACACCACCACTCCAAAGCCCTCCCCATGGGGAGCGCTTTGAGCAGGACCTCGAGGCAAATTCAGCTTTAACGGCGAGGGGCAAGTGGCGGTATCGGTACCTCTTTGTTCCTCCGAGCGCCGATGGTCTCGGGCGAGAGCTCGGAAGCGTGCTCGTGCCAGAGCACATCCTCGGGTGGCATCTCGTCGGCTCGGCCTGGTGGGAGCTGGGCCTCCAGCAGGGCGGTGCGGCTCGCTGGCCAGGGAGAGAAAGGTGGGGCTGCTGGAAGCGGCTGGAACCTGAATTGAGGAGCGGGGAAGCCCTGACCGGACCAAGTAGGAGAGAGCGATATAGGCTTGATCAGTGTGGGACACCTCGAGAAGGAACAAGTCCCTGACCAACCCTGGGAAGCCCCTCCGTCTTGGTCTGTTTAGGGTGTCCTGCCCCGTGGTTAATGTTGCGGCCATCCCCCCCCCCAGAAATAAAAGCGCTTACCAGACAGGACTGGACCCACCAGGCGACCCTGTGGGCTTGGACTCATTCAGGAACGCGTGGAAGACCAAGGTCTCCATGGGAGTCCAGACTAATGGGGGCAGCGTGTGGGGCGGGTCCATGTCGTTGGGTGGCCATGCACGAAGGGATGCTGGTGTCGAACAGACTGAGACCAGTGACAACGTGATTGCGCGGAGGGCCAGAGGAAAACGCACAAGAGCGCGGTCCAAATAGTGCGGCCACACGCGCAAACACACGCACACAAACACACGCACACACGCACACACGCACACACACACACACACATACACATACATACGCACGCACACGCAAACACACACGCACACACGCACACGCGCACGCACACACACACACACACACACACACACACACACACACACACACACACAAACACGCCCACGCCCTCCCGCGGGGAAACCCGTTGTGCGCGCACGCGTGCTCCTTTGTCTGCCAGCCTGCCCTGGCCTGCCCCTCTTGCCCGAGGGTGGACATGCTGCAAAAGGGGGAGAGGCGCATGTAGTCTCAGCGACGGCTTCAGGAGGGCGCCAAGACGGCCTCTCAAAAGGCGCCCACCGATGCCCCCAGGAAGCTTCCGATAAGCCCCCGGAAGGCAACGGAATGACCATGCAACGTCACGGCCTTGCCATGCTACTGCGTCGTAGCACTGCATCCCAGACTGCTCCAAGATGGATCTGCAGATCCATGTCCCTGGAACTCGATAGAACCATTGCGCCCGAGACGGCCCGAGAGAATCCTGGACGCCTGTGGGGGACCCTGAGAGCCTCTGTTATTCTGCGCCGATGCTGGATTGCTCTAAGAATTCGGCTCTCATTTCGATGTTGCGTTGGTACGGTTCCGGATTTTGCCGCAGGCAGCTGGACACTTTTAGATGTGCGTGCAAGCGCACATTGCACAACCTGCGGGCACCCGTATCAAAACATACCTCACGGACTTGCAGTCGATACGTTGGTTACGATGGGTGGTTGGGTGTGTATTGCAGATGCCCTCAAACGGAGTGCCAGATGACACTTGTGCACTAGATCCAACTTCACTGGGAAAGGCATGGGCGATTCTTGCGCTGTGCCGGTGCCGGTGCTGGTGCCGGTGCCGGTGCCGGTGCTGGTGCCGGTGCCGGTGCCAGTGCCGGCGCTACTGTAGTGCCAGTGCAGGTGCCGGCGCCGGCGCCGGTGCCAGTGCCCGTGCCAGTGCCGGTGCTGGTGCCCTGGCGCTTGTGCCGGTGCCGGTACCGGTGCCGGTGCTGGCGCCGGCGGTGCTGGCGCTGGTGCCAGTGCGGGCGCCAGTGCAGGTGCTGGTCACAGGATCCCTGGGTAGTCCGGGTGACCGGGTGACAGGGTCCAGTCGATCTGGATGTAGACCCCATGGAATATACTCGGACGGGCGGGTCGGGTCGGGCGGGCGGGACATTAAAGTACGGGGCCGCATCGAGGAAGCACAGGGCACCAGTGGCCGGGTGGGACACCATAGTGCAGGACGCCTCTCTGGTCGGATCGGGCGGGCGGGGCACTAAAGTGCAGGACGGCCACTGAGACGCGCGGAGGATCGGGTCGGGTTGGGCGGGCGGGACATTAAAGTGTGGGGCCGCATCGAAGAAGATCACAGGGCGCCAGTGAGACGGGCTGGTACGGCGGAGGCCTTGGACAAAGAAATCTTGGAATCCAGGGCCTGGAAGCCAGTGGAACTCCAATTGTGGATCGGCCATGGGAATCGCCGCCGCCATCATCACATAAGGAATCCTTCACGGTCCGAAGCCTCCAGGGCACATCCTTAACCAACACCCTCGCTATAGGGTTGGTGCACTTTAAGTGCAGGACGCCTCTCGGGTCGTGTCGGGCGGGCAGGACACCATAGTGCAGGACGGCGGGCGGGCGGCGGGCGGGCGGGACATTCAAGCAAGGGACCACGACGAGTGAGTCCACTACTAGAGCAGGGAAGTGGGGTCGGGCAGGAGGGGCATCCAGATTTGGGGCACCATCGAAATGAAACATTACTCTGGCGGGCAAGTTGCATCAGGCTGGCGGGATACGAGCACGCAGGTCGAGTTGCGCGCATCAGCTCACGCGTTGTGCCTCCTTTTGCACGCCGAAGCTATTGAGTGCAACCTGGCGTTTCTGAAGACTCGAAGGAATCTAGCACGTCTAGCACCAAGGATGTTCTTCAATCAACTTGGGGAGGGGTCTTGCCTAGCAGAGGGTGCCGCACAGAAAAAGGGCACGTTTAGCACCAGGGAGTCGTTTTTTTTATCAACTTGGGGAGGGGTCTTGCCTAGCGGAGGGTGCAGCACAGCAAAGGGGCATGTCTAGCACCAAGGATGATTGCTTAATGATCTTGGGGAGGGGTCTTGCCTAGCAGAGGGCGCAGCACAGCAAAGGGGCATGTCTAGCACCAAGGATGCTTTTTCTAATCATCTTGGGGAGCGGTCTTGCCTACCAGGGGGTGCCGCACAGCAAAGAGGCACGTCTAGCACCAAGGATGGTTTGTTCACCATGTTGTGGAGGGAACTTGTCTAGCAGAGGGTGCCGCACAACAGATGGGGCATGTCTAGCACCAAGGATGTTGTTTTTAATCACCTTGGGGATGGGGCCTTGCCCAGCAGTGGGCGCAGCACGGCAGATGGCACAGCACAGCACCAAGTATGTTTTTGAAACAAAAAATAAAAAATGGGGACGGGTTTTGCCTAGCAAAGGGTGCCGCACAGCAGATGCGGCATACCTAACATCAAAAGGTGTTTGTTTAATCATCTTGGGGAGGGGTCTTGCCTAGCAGAGGGTGCCGCACGGCAAAAAGGGCATGTCTAGCACCGGGGATGTTACAGATATGTATAAAACATAAACAACAATCAACTTGGGGAGTGGCATTGCCTAGCAGAGGGTGCCGCACAGCATATGGCACATGTCTAGCACCAAGGATGCTTCTTCTAATCATTTTGGGGAGGGGTCTTGCCTAGCAGAGGGTGTCCCACAGCAGATGCGGCATGCCTAATTTCAAGGGTGCCTGTTTCTAATCATCTTGGGGAAGTGTCTTGCCTAGCAGAGGGTGCCGCACGGCAAAAGGGCATGTCTAGCACCATGGAGTCATGTTTAATCAACTGGGGGAGGGAACTTGCCTAGCAGAGGGTGCAGCACAGCAAAGGAGTCTTGCCTAGCAGAGGGTGCAACACAACAAAGGAACACGTCGAGCACCAAGGATGCGTGTTGATCATCTTGGGGAGGGGTCTCGCCTAGCAGACTGTGCCGCACAACAACAGGGCATATCTAATACCAAGGATGTTTTTTTAATAATCAGGTTGGAGAGGGAGCATGTCTAGCAGATGGTGAAGCACCAGGGGGCCTGTCTCGCACAAAGAGTGCATGTTGCATCATCTTGGGTAGGGATCTTGCCTAACAGAGGGTGCCGCACAGCAAAAGGGGCATGTCTAACACCAAGGGTGCAATGTTTATCATCGCGGGGAGAAGTCTTACATAGCAAAGGGTGCCGCACAGCAAGAGGGATACGTCTAGCACCAAGGATGTTATCTCATCAGGTTGGGGAAAGGGGTCTTGCCTAGCAGCGGGTGCAGCACAGCAAAGGGGCATGTCTGGCACGATCAGCATGGGGAGGGGCCTTGTCTAGCAGAGGGTGCAGCACAGCAAAGGGGATGTCTAGCGCCAGGGATGTTTTGTTTGATCAGCTTGGGGAAGGGTCTTGCCTAGCAGAGGGTGCGGCATGTCTAGCACCACCGATTCTTCTTTAATCAGTGTGGGGAGTCTGGCCTAGCAGAGGGTGCCGCGCAGCAGATGGGGCATGTCTAGCACCAAGGATTTGTTTATCAGCCTGGGGAAGGGTTTTTGCGTAGCAGAGGGCGCCGCACAGCAAATGGGCACGTCCAGCACCAAGGAGCCTTTACCTGCAAACGCCGCTTTTTTTCTGTAGCGCTCCCTGGTGCGATTCCAGGCATCGCATCAACGGGCCCAATAGAAAAATACAACAAACAACGAGAGGGCAAGGGAAGTTTGAAACTGGTCGGGAAGCCCAACTAGATGCTTCGCCTAAAGCGAATCCTGTATCCAACTCTGCTGTACCGTAGTAGCAATCGTCCCAAGAGCAGGAGAGAATCGCGGGAGCGACGGGCCGTGTCTAGCGAAACTGTTGTCGGTCTCGATGGCAAATAGTGTGCCTCGCGGTGAGGCGCAGTCAAATCTTGGCGGCCGGCCGCTTGAACACAAACGGCCGCGGACAAACACTCGTTACCTCTCGCATTTGCCCAACCTTTTTTAGAGTTGGGGGGGAGGAGACAAAGCGTCAGTCCACCGCCAGCTAAACAGTAAAACGCTATAGTGCGCAAAGTAGGCAGCAGCAGGCGGGCTCAACAAAGGCAGGTTGACCGGTATGCAAGTTACCTTGCAGGCAAGTTACCTCGCAAGCAACTACTCGTCAGGTGGCCCATATGATCTCGTCTGGCCAGCCCTGTACGGAGTATGTCGTTTTTCAGGTCGTGCTTGAAAGATTGCATTCCTCATGTGCCTCGCTCTATCATCTGTCGTATCAAACGGATGTCTCCCAGGAGTGCGCGCCCAGTTGGCTTCTGAAGGTCTTTGCTTGACAAGGACTTGGTATGACCGCCTGACCGCCTGACCGCCTGACCGTCCACCTGACCGACTGACCACCTGACCACCAGACCACCACAATCTG